TGCACAAGGGTGGGGAGCCTCCCCCACTCCCTCACAGGAGCCTTGCATGGGGCAGGGAGCCCCCAGCCAGGACCCTCTCCTGACCTTGGAGAGGCCCCCTCCTCCATTGCACATGGCTCACACAGGGATGGGGACCCCCCAGCTGAGACATACAACTCCCCCTCCCGGGTGCAGGGGCTGGATGGGGAAAGGGGGATCTTCATGCCTGGGGGGAGCCAAGGGGTAGTTGTGAGAGAGTGAAACGCTCATGGGAAGAGGGAGGGTGGGAAGGGGGTGGGAATGGCTGGATTGTGACCCGTGTGTGTGTGTGTGTGTCCTGGATGCATGGGTTCGGAGGGGGGGGGGCATGTGTGTGTGTCCGTGTTCCAGACCCTTCATTTTCTGTGTGTGTGTGTGTTCATCCATCCATCCATCCTGGACTGCTGGGTTCTGTATGTGCATGTGTGCATATGTATGTGTGTGCGTCTGTCCCAGTCTCCAGGGATGTGTGTGCGCACGTGTGCTTGCGTGTGTTCCTCCTCTGCTGGACAAATCTGACCACTCCCATATCCTTCCTGGCATCCTTGGAAGGGTGTTTCTGGGCAGGGGAACGATGTGTGGGAAACCTGGGTTGGTTTGTTAATCATTGATCAACCTATCTGGGAAGGGTTGGAGGGAAATAATTAAGTCTCACACTAATGAAGCTTCTTCCCCCCGCCCCCACTTATCTTCCTCCAGGAAGCTTTCATCCTTCTCCATCTTGGGTGAAGTGTGTTGTCTTATGCACCAGAGACACGCAGAAGATCACTGGGCCCCGTCTCCCATGGGCAAAGCCAGCTGGGATCTCATCCCAGGAGCCCTTGTTCTCTAGGCCTGAATCCCTCCGGGTTTGTTTCCCATGTGCCCTCATCTTAGGAGCAATATGGTGCCCTTGCCCTTGCACAACCCTGACTTATTGCATGCAGTCTACTGCATTTTCTAGCCTACCACATTCCTGTTTTTTTAAGAGCATCAGCTCCTGGGAGTTTGATGCACATTATATATAATAAATATGGTAAGAGCAGGGCTACTTATATGGTAGCCTGGCGGGCTACTGTATTTTCAAGCATACACACAGTAAAAAAACCCTGGGAATTGTAGTGCACGTTATATATGATAAATAAGGTAAGAACAGTTGTGTCAACCCCCCCCCCCCATGATTTACCATAATTTCTGGTATATAACGCACACCTTAAAAATATATATTAAAGCAGCTGCTGGGAGTTTCATGCTCAGTAATATATTTGAAATATGGTAAGTGCGGGGAGCAATGGCGACAGATGTCACAGCCCCCCCGGATCTACCGTATTTTCTGGAACACAGCACACACCTTACAAAAAAAAATAACTGAGCAGCTGGAGGGTGTGGTGCACATTATATGAGAGACGTACGGTAACAGCCGTTTCCCCTGGTGACTTAATTCACGGCCTATTTTCTGGCAGAAATCGCACAGCTAAAACAACCAACCCAACTGCTGGGAGTTTGCGTCGCATCGTATACAAGAAATACGGTAAGAGCAAGCCCCTTTCCCCCCGTGACTTATTTCACGCCACTGTAACGGGCCCGGGGCAACGGAACTTATTTCACGCGAGTCGGCCAAAATGGCGCCGCCCCGCTTCAGGGTAAACGGGGGGGGGGGGAGACCTGGCGTACATAGCCACTTCCGGTCCCGGCACCGGAAGTGAGGCGGCCGCCATTTTGCGTGGGCGCCATGGGGTGAGTGCGTGCCTGGGAATGGGGCAGGGCCACAGCCCCATCGTGGGGGAGGGGCTTGGAGATGAAAGGGGGGACCCCCTGTGTGGGAGGTGGGAGTGGGGGGAGGAGTGCTGGGGTGACCCTTGCAATACAGGGGAGCCAGGGGGAACCCTACTGTGTGGGGGAGGGGTCCTGGGGTGACCCCCCCCCCATGGCTGCGGGCTGAGGGGCGCAGGCTTGGGGACGGGGGTGCTGGGGAGCCCCTGCGGGCTGTCCCGGTGCGGGAGGGGGGTGAGATCCCTGGAACCAGGGAAGGGGCATGTTGGGAACCGGGGTGGGGGCCGGGGCCCGCTGGAGTCCTCCCAGCCCCTAACCCTCCTCTCTCCCCTCAAGGGCAAGGCCCAGCCTTGGGGACGATCTTCCTGGGGGCCGAGCTGTGGGGCCTCTCCAAGCCCTACGGCTCCTGCAACGTCCTCCAGACCTTCGCCGTCGCACCCGTGGAGGGGGACACCACGGAAGGCATCGTCCACCTGCGTGACACCCCCACGTGCACAGAAAGCTCCTCTTCCTCCTCCCCCAGAGCAACGGGGCTCAAGACCCCCCACCACACCTGCTGACTACGTCCACCCCTGCCAGCACCTGCTTTATGCCCCTGGGTATTATGGGGCGCTGCAGGCCTGGTATGACGGGGCGCTTCACCTAGGAGAAGTAGAGGAGGGCAGCAAGGCTGATTCGTGGGCTGGGAGGGAGAGATGAACAAGGCCGGGCCTGTTCCGTTTAGAAAAGAGTCACTTGAGGGGGGACAGGACAAGGGTTTACAATGTGCTAAACAGCAGCAAGATTTACTATGATTATAGGGATCATTGTTATAGGGATTTGTTAGGGACTAACTGTCACCAGACAAGAACGAGGGGTCCACCGAGGGATTGGCCTCATTCTTGGAGGAAAGAGGCATCAGGAGCTATGGAGCATGGGGGTTTAGGGGCACGGCCTCTGAATCGGAGCGTCCTGGGCCTCAAGTGCTGGAGGCTGCAAGTGAGAGAGGAACAAGGGGGGGGAAATCCTGCTCAGACCCAGTCACTCTCCCTCCCGGCCTCTGCTCTGCTGCCATGGACAGAGGAGACTGGGCAAGATGGACCTAGGGTCTGACCCCGTCTGTGCAGCTCTTACGTTCTTTTGCATGAGCAAGCTGCCATGAGAGGAGCTCTTTGTGCCGTGTCTGCCCAGACCTGTGGCCAGGGGTACGGGCAGACGAGCTATGCCGCGGCCTGCTCGCCATACCGGGCTGCTGCACCAAGTCTGTGGTGCAGTGCGCCCAGAGCTCTTAGGCTTACTGTGAGCTAAACAGTAAGCGACCCCCAGCTCCTGGCTTCAGGGGCTGGGATGAGCCTGTGATTGGAGGGAAATGGGGGTCTCCAATACCCACCCCCACTGCGGAGCTGGGCCAGGGACCAGTGGCTCTGTGTGTGTGTGGAATGTAACCTAGATTCCCTTCAGTGAGATTTGGTGTGGGGCAGAGAGTTAGGATCTGCTGACCTCCACGGTCCCTCCCTGGATCAAACCCTTGTATAAAGGGCATGGAGGGAGCCTGGGTGCTGGGCTGAGAAGAGGCTGGGCCACTTAAGCATGCCAAAGCTCCCTTGAACATGGGAAAGCTGAGGCACAGTTTACCCCAGAGTTAACTTATCCTGGGTCTTACTCTGTGGCAAGAAGCAGATGCATGGGTGGCCGCCATGGGCCAGATCAGATCCTGTGTGGGGTCTGCAGCCGCCCCAGAACCAGAGCCATGTACCAGGTCCTGGAGCCCATGTGCAGGGCCCCAGATCCCACGTGCTGTGTCCAATCCCATGTACCAGGTCCTGGAGCCTCCTCCCGTGTGCTGGGTCTGAGTTGCACACCGGTCCAATCCTGTGTCCCAGGTCCAGCCACGCACCCACCACACAGACCAACCAGGCCCAGCCTGTGTTCTCCACGGCTCCATCAATGTAAAGCCAGGTAGCGATAGGAGGCTAATTATCACGGAGCTCCCAGACCTCTCCCTGCTTCTCCGCCCACCACCGAATACCCAGACCTGTGGGGAAATCCCTTCCAGCCCCATCGCTCTTGGGGTCTGCGATTCCAAGTCAGGGAAACTGAGGCACAGGGGGGGCATATGGAAATAAGCGCTTGCAGTTCAGCTGAGTGGGAACTTGTGCCTGCTTCTGCAGCTCTCGTCTCCTTCCCATCGGCGGCTGCCTGAGGGCGTTCTGGGGTACAGGGAGCATAGGGTGACCCCCCATCCCACCAACCCTCTATCTTCCATCAGCTTCAGGTCCTTGGTGCCATCAACTCCTATCACAACACTGTCACCTTTCTGCCACCCCCTCCCCTTGGTTAATGCAGGGGATCTTTAGCACTAACGAGATCTGGCTGGACAGGTGATCATCCATAATCAGCTTGTCTCTCTCCCTCTTGTCTTTCTTCCCACCCCCAAATCTACCTGCCTTGTCCAGGGAAGCCTGCTGCCCCCGCATCTTGTTTGACGATGCCTCCGGATGGGCCCTGCACTGCCCAGGTAATGGTGTGAGAAGGAGATACCCCCATCTCTTTCC